TTGAAGTACTTCTGATTCAGTGCATCCTCACATCAATTTCTATGTCTCGATTGGAAGGCTTAAGAAGCATTGTGACGTCATGAGTATTGATTTGCACTGAGACCCTCCGTATACTTCCGTACTACAAGTAGAGACAGCCAATGATTGAAATGTTACAAACTTTGTTCTGAAATTGGAGGCAGTTTTATTACGGTATGGGAGAGAATGGAATATTTGATTGAGCTATACCAGCCCGCCAACCAAGCAAAATACCTACAGGCTACAAAGCAAAACGCTCCTTTCCACAAGGGTACAAGAAAATAATAAAGAAACAAAGAACGATAAAGGCCAACATAGATAAGAAAATAAGACATGCAAGTGTATTAACAAAAATAAAGACAGAAAATGCTATCATTTCTAAAGTTCGCAGGAATATTGTAGACATTACAAATAAAAGAGCACTCAAATGTATTATCATTTCACAGATGTAAGATATTACTTACATTATAATCTATTTATCAGTTCTAATTAAATCTAACATAATTTTGTTACTAGGCCTAACGAAATTCTTTTTTTTTTTCTTTCTTTTTTTTAAAACTTTGTAAATAGTGTAAATAGTTCACTACAAAACTTTAGGAACTTTATTTGTCATATATTATATATTTGAAAGGTGTTGTAACGATTCAAGCTCTATTTGCTTATGTTTCATCACCTTTGTGTGTTCATTCTTCAAACTGTATATAAGTTGCAACTTTTTCACGTGAAGTTAATTCAAATGTATTGTAAAATTGAAAATGATTTGTCATCTTATATTAATTTTTCATGTGATGTTAACTTCAATGAATTGTGAAATTGTGAACATCCTTAAATAAATAAATAAATAAATAAATATACAACTGGTCTGGATACGAATTCAGGAAGTCAGACGGTAGTATTTTCGCTTCATAGGCCGATATCAATATTTCAAATTGATATCGCCATGATCGTAGTGCACACACATTAAGAGCCATTTCACTGTAACCTGCAAAATCATATAGTTTGTGGGCATATCGTTAAAGGAAAATTAATTGTATGGTTAAGAAAAACGAAGTGTATCTTAGGGAATTTGGAAAGCTTTTTTGTCATAATGTACAGGTATGACTTGTGATAGATGTGCTTTTTTGGTTCGATATTTAGAACATGACTCGGGGCTAACCGAATGTTATGGATTTTAGAGAACCTCGACTGTGTTTAGAAAGCACTTGTAGATGAAGAGAATTGTAAAATAAACCAGCAATAAGATCGGAAAGTTCAAAACCACTTAAAAAGAAAGAAGGAAGAAAGCGAAAATCGTATCAGTTTTCATATTCGTACACTTATTTGAATTCGGCTAAATCATTTCAGCTAAATATTTTAAATAGAGAAAAAAAAATCGTAGAAGTGAGATTGTTATGTTGGTTTTAATTCATCAGATATCAGGCTTATCGTCTCGATAGCCGTTGTTTAGTAGTACGAAGCTCAAGAGCATAATTGTATACGGTGGCGATGAAATTATTGCTCGCTTGTGTCATAGCAAGATCATTGTTCTCCTTCGGGGGAGGGGGGGGGGGGGGGGTAGGAGACCTTCGATGTGCTTCACGCATACTTCCGGTTGTTACATATTGGGTAGTCGATAATAAGGAAGCACGGGAAAGTGTAGTATACAAAGCAGGAGCTTGCAGAATCTGAGAGGATCATAGCAAGGTAGCTTTAATATCGAGGCTAGAAGCAAAGCGAAGAAATGAGAAGTGTTAGCATCAGGGATGACATACAGACTTGCCAAAGGCCGAGTCCGATCTGACAGTTTTATAAGATCAGATTGGTGTATTGAGTCAGAGGACTCAATGAGCAAGTATTGTGCAGCATTTATTAAATATGAATGTACTATTCTAGTTCGTCAAGACTAGTGATATCAAACAAAATTTGACAGTGTAGGAGTGTGTTTAATGGGTTTAGAGAGGGGTGTATGTAAGCAATTTATCATTAAGGATCGACAGCGGTGAATGGATTAGGATAAAGTTGAAGAAATGAAAGAAAAAATACCATATGACTATGTACAAACATGTATACTATGCAGTATCACAATAGGTAAAGTGCATGCCCCGATTTGGCAGTCCTCCTGCGCAAACTTGGTCGTTATCAAGGTCAGGCAAATAAAGGTGCTAAACCCGGGCAGATGGATGCCTTGAAGTATCACATGTGATGCGCTGGTGCCTCCGCCGATAAATCGCCTCAATTACGCGTTCTGCATGCGCGCATCAATCACAAATTCGGAAACCACGGAAAACCTTACCGAATCGCCTTAATGCAAAGCCGAGGGAACTGGATGACCAGTCTACACTTTTTTGTATCCGTCTATAAGATGAGGCGTTTTCGACCACCACAAAACAAATGGGTCGGCCTACGTTCTACGTTTTGCAATATTGTGTACTGATTCAATTCTATTTCTTGCATTACAGCTACATCTAGTGAAAATAATATCTAACAATGCACTTTTGCAACCTTGAGACTTAGAACAACTCTTTATTTCTCATCTCATTCTTTCTCTCTCTCTTTCTCTCTCTCTCTCTCTCTCTGACTCATAAAATGACACACGCACATACACACACCACACACACCCATCATATTCCAGACATGTGCACACTCACACTCGATTGTCTATTATTATCATATACATATCTTTTATCTATATTAAAATTTTCTCTTCTATATCCTTCTTCTCATCTATCCCCGTCCCATCTTCTCTCTCTCTTTCTCCTCGCCACCCCTTCTCTACACCACCTCTCTCTTAACATTACACTCATCATTTTCAATAATCATCAAGGGTTACACTTCACGTCTTTCTCCCCGTGGCGTGTGGGATGGACACAGCCGTGGGCCCCTCCTCACTCTTCGACAGGGTTTGCTTGACATTTACTCATTTACTAATTTGCTGCTACGCCGGGGGCTGAGTTTTCGGTACATGTCATTTTTTCTCTCCCCCTCCCCATTTTTCTCCTTCCTATATGATTATTCATCTTTAAGACATCAAGAACTGTTTCGTGGATTGTCGTGATGTATTCTCTCGATCTATTTTGCCCCTCAAGCATCAAAATAAGCAAAATGACAACCAAATGCTTTTTTAAAGTAGAGCATATTTCAACCATTGGCAATGGTACACAACATATTGTCTGACCTAGATTGGGAATTTTCTCGAACATTTTCGTTAGAAAATCAAATCAAATAATAATAATAATAAAAATAATTGCATTTACATAGGGCCTTTTCCAGATGATACAAGGCGCTGTCCCTTAGTCAATCAACAAATCAAAAAGAATTGCAAAGGATTGTTTCCAGATTTTTTTTAAATAATAAAAGTGTAGTATTCTTGTGAATGCACAGTTTATTCCATAGGCGTGGGGCAACATATATCTTCACCCATTTCAATTTTATAGTTTATCTAAAATCATTATCGGATTATTTTTGACCGAAATTTCCAAGTCTAGCAAATCTACCAAATCGATATCATGTCCTTTTGAAATTATCATGAATTCATGATTATCATCTAACCAATAATAATGATAGTCACATTTGTATAGCGCCTAATACTACGTTTCTAAGAGCTTTACATTGTAATTATTATCATCTGGTCATTTGATTTGATTGCTTATCCACAGATGAGATTGCACACACTTCACTCCATGAGGAGTATTTCGGTCAGGCGCCACTCTACAAGCGCCATAACTAGGCGTTGTGGCTTGCGCCTGTAATCCAGCTAAAAGTGGAAGTTACAAACTGATTCAGCCGAGGACACAGGTTCGAAACTGAGTCACTCACTTCTTTCGGATGGTGACGTTTTAAGGTCGGTCCCCAGACGTAAATAATCCCATTTGATTGATACACGTCTGTAAAAACACAATACACACACACACAAGCGCACAAATGCCAATCCAACCACTCGATTATCACCAATTACAATGGGCATGCTATAATTATGATTCACGTTGACGATAAATTTAAAGGTCTATTTATTGAAAAGCCGCCTTCAACAAAAGTGCTCACCCCCTCAAAAAAATAAAACATACAAACAAACATAGAAATAAGTACAGATACAAATATAGATACCCCTTCACAAACCCCGCTCAGCCATGGTTTTCTTCACATCTCTTTAGACCTATATGGTTCCCTTTTGGACCTACCCACAATAAATCATTATTCTTGGGTAATTCAACCGCTATCATAAATAACACGGCGTATGAGGTACGCCCCCCCCCCCCGCCCCCGTTCCCACTCCAATTGGCGAAAGAAAAAGAGATAGGTGAAGAGGATGAATGGGAGAGAGAGGGAGAGAGAGAGAGAGAGAGAGAGAGAAGAAAAAATATGACACGACCCCTTGTACTGTCAAATCCTACCGTTAATCGTTGACCTTACCACCATGCTTACTGCGTTTCACCTATCCACCATGTCCACGCATCCCCAATAAATATAAGAGCCCCCTCAAAGGCTTGACCCACACTTCGCCCCTGTGCATTTTGAAATAGCCAAAGGGAGACAGACTCAACTCCACCAAGTCTTGGCTATATGAACGGGCTTCAAATTGGTTCTTCTTAATATATTTTATATTTTTCCCTTTTTTAAAATTTAGTATATAGTTACTCTTTACTGAATAATATATTTGATGCTGTCTACGAGAATTTATTATTTCACATTGAGTAGAGCATGTCTTGAAAAGTCTCGATCCTGTAATCTTAGCACGTCCCTAATATCTACAAAAAGACAAAACTGTGACAGCCTTCAGTGAAAACATTTATTCAAGGGCTAAGCTCGACGGAAACTCAAGAACTCGCGTCAAGTGTTTTGTCTCCAAGCTACGCCGACATTGAAGGACTTTGTCATAGACTTCAAAATTAGAAACATGCATAAAATAAGTGGTCACTTCAGCTTGCGATGAAGGACTCTTAACAAGACATTTTCAATTTGTTTTTTTGTTTTTCTGCCTTCTTAGAGATTGGAGATCATCTTACCTGTATGGCGTTAGTCACGTTCCAGCCTGCGTCCCAAGCTGTGATCTGTTTTCGCATGATGTTGGAGTTATCTCCTTCCCCTGAAGGCTTATCATCCACTCCGTGCTGCTTCACCGCGCCACCGTTACTCGAATCCCGCAGGCCTCCCGGCGGCTTCCCATTCTCCACAGTGGGGGAGTCGTCGCTATCGCCGCTGCTACTGGCGCCCGGTATGACCGTAAGTTCCGTCGCATCTTGCCGGGCGAAGGGAACGCTTTCGTCGCCTCCCGAAAGTCGAAAAAGATCCAGGAACCGATTCACATATCGGCTGTTCATCATGTTACGTTCACGGTACAGTTAAATATCCAAGTTAACTTAGCAGAATGGCCTCATTCTTTGCATAAGCTACACACCAAGAAAATAATTTGTATCGTGAGCTGCGGTGGCCGGACAATTTAGATCTCTGATCGCTTCCTAGCAGACGACAGTTTCGGAGTGTCTTTACTTTTTTCCAGTGAATGCGCACACGACTGATCGATCTCATATTCTGCTGACGCTTTTTACTATCTTCTCGATTCCCGCGCTTTTTGTGAGAACGCACTTCTGAATTGGTCAAACGCTATCTGCCACCGCGAACAACAAGAGCATTGGGTTACGACATCCCCACCCCACCTCCCCCTCCTTTATAGTAGTAACTCTCTCTCTCTCTCTCTCTCCCCCTCTCTCTCTCTCTCTTTATCTCTCTCTCTCTCTCTATTTCTCCCTGCCTTTCTGTGTCTAAGTCTCCCCCACCTCTCTATTTTCGCTCTGATGATTCCTCTTCTCCATTTCTCCTTCCCCTCTCTCTACCATAATTCTCTTTCTCTCTCTCTCTCTCTCTCTCTCTCTCTCTGCCTTTCTGATGCCTATTGGCTTTTGTTAAAAATCACTATGCTTTATCACTTTTTGAACATGAGTATTTTTTGGTAGAGTATCTACACATCTAACTAAGATAACAGAACTGATAGTCATGCCATAAGCTATGTACTATCTGGAATTGATTCTACAGATTTAGATATCTATTTGATTTAAAGGGATTGGGTAACTTTGTCTCAGAATCTGAAACAAAATTCTGGATTTCGCTCATGCTGCAATGATTATTATAAACCTTCAGGTCAGTCAGGAACCCCATGACGTTAAAGAGCCGATTGCCTGTCTGATAATCAATATATTTATGATTGGAAATCGAAATCAAATTGTTTTCCTAACGGTTTTCATAACATTACAGTCTATTGGAGAAAACGAGTATGGTAAAACCGGTCAATCAAACATTCTCACTTTTTGAGGAACTAAATGATCATTTTGAAGCGTTTTTTTTAGGGCTTCACCATTATCACAGACACGGATAACACGTAGGGCCATGCATCTCAAATTGAACATTTCTTAACGATGCCTTTAAGTAGTGCGATGCAATTACACCTTCAAATTTTGTTCACCATAATATCTTACCCATGAAATTATGGTGAGAGAAGTATTAGTAAATAGTATGTTGGGGGAACGGGTACTTTAAACGATCATATTCACTAATTCAACACAATGAAACATTTAATGATGCTAAAGCGGCTTATAGATCATGGCAAAATAATTCAAAATGCTTTTTATGACGCCAATTAAGAGGATCATGATTACCGTGTAGAAAATAATATATAGTAGTTTCAGTTTCAGTTTATTTTATTTTCCAAAAGAATTGATAACTATAGATATCTGAAATAGATAGAGCAGTATAAAAAAAAAAATGGTATTGTATGGCCTACATCCGATTTATCGATCGTGCGTTCTTTAGTAAGTAGCAGTGATTAGTCAGGTTTGAAGAGAAAAGAATACCTTGCGAAAGATGTTATTTCTATAAATTCCTTTATTCATGTTATTGATGGGTAACGATTTACACAGTATTTTGATATTTGTTTTAATCACAAATAATGAAAATATTGTAATAGGCTAACTATGCCTAAAATTCTATGTAAAACAAAAATCAATCTTTCCATAATGAATGCTCCCGGACTCGGACCATTGCCATGGTTACAAAAAGGGAGTAGATATGACAGATATAGGTTTTCAAAAAGAGAAGAAAAGAAAAAAGATCTTTCTTTCGCAGACGGACTTGTTTTCGTTTCGCTTCATGTTGAGAGCATTGCGATTCGGGATAGAATGGATATATATATATATAGAGAGAGAGAGAGAGAGAGAGAGAGATATGCCCTATAGAGATATTTTAAATCCTCTGTATTTTCTATATTTTGTTATATTCGCCTGACAGCCCGGCTTGGTCGCTAGCTGTCAGCTGCACATGCAGACGACCTAGGAGCGATCGATACAGACCGTTTATCGGTGACGTGAATCGGTAAACTGCATTTTGGCGATCGGCTGCTGGTTGCTTGCATGGACGAATGCATGGTCGCCCCTGCGTGATGCTATGCTTGATCTTAAAGTTAAACACCGTGTTCAAATACCGAAGGAGAAGTAAAGAAAGACAAAAATTATTGTGGGATCTATCTTGGCAGTTCGATGTTCCGGTGACGCCGTTATGAATTAATTTAGATATTGTGACAATTTTTATATCTACAACACTTTATTGTAAAAGGCCTATTGTCATTATTGTTTGATAATAATTAATATTGCGGGATTGAAATGATGTTAGGGCCGATTACAAAGCCATTGCTAATTCATTTATTTTCCATATTATTATGTAAATGTAGGCCTACTCCGCTTCAACTATTTTTGTTATCATTTTTTCCATTTCCTTCTCTCTCTCTCTCTCTCTCTCCCGATCCCTTTCTTCTGTCGCCCTATATTTCTCTCTTCCACCCTCTCGCTCTACCCCTCTCAGACTATCTTAATCATAATTATCACGAGGTCCATTCAGCTGTCGGAGTGTGATTTACATGTAAATATGAATTCATGAAATACATGACACCACACAATGAACTTTAAACATGTTACATGATTATCCCTGGGGGAGGAAGCGTGCTGGGATGTGACGTAAGTCGTAATTATAGATGTACAGTATCTTATATTCATCAAATCGTTTTTACAGAGAGGGAAAGGAGGGGAAAAGAGAGAGAGAGAGAGAGAGAGAGAGAGAGAGAGAGGTAACATGGATAAGCAGGGGGGAGATAGAGATATTGTTAGATAGAGAGAGAGAGAGAGAGAGAGAGAGAGAGAGAGGGGGAGAGAGGGGAGAGAGGGGGAGAGGGGGAGAGAGAGAGAGAGAGAGAGGGGGGAGAGAGAAAAAGTATATATATATATAGAGAGAGAGAGAGAGAGAGAGAGAGAGAGGGAGAAAGAAAGAAAGGAAAGAGGGGGGGGGAGGGGCAGTAGAGGTGGTCGCAGATGTTCATCCTGTCACCATACAGATCTAATTTTGAAGTAATCATCACTTCGTAGTGTGTTACATCACGCTGACAAGGATAAAGCAACGATTTAACTGCAAATTACAAATTCCCCGTTTCACCGAGTTCCTCATGTCTACAATGTTCTGCGTTGAAGATATCCCCCTTAAAATGAGCATCTTCAACCTAAAGCTCCCCCTCCCCTCCCCTCTGTCTCTCTTTGTATCTACCTTCCCTTCTTCTCTCTCTCTCTCTCTCTTTTACTCTCTCACGAACTTTTTCTGTCTGCCTTTTCCTGTAAATTAATTAAGAAAAGTGCACATAATTATACGCGTTCGTAGTACATCTTCCAAAAATATAGTTTGATAGAAAATGATTAATAAATATTTTTTATTCTAGTATTTTGTTTATTGTGATACAAACACGTACATTTAATTGAATGCAACATTTTGTATAAAGTCCATTCTCCTTCTCTTCGTTAGGTCAATATCCACAATGTGTGCTAGATTACTCATCATGACTGTCTATGCTCATTTATCATTACATTTAGACTTTATATCTCTCTGTATTTTTTAAAACCTGTCTTTGAACATGTTCCATAGAGTTTGCTTCATTGATTCGTGTTCGTGTCATGTTTTTTCTTCATCTTTTTGATAGGCAGATAGGGAAACAGATCTTCCGAAAGTCACTCCCTAGCCATTAGCCCACCCCTCTTTTCATTCTCTCTCTCTATTAGTATTACATCCTTCTCACACACTCTCTCTCTCTCTCTTCCTATCTCTTTGTCTCTCTTATTGATAAAACCTCTCTTTCCCTCTCTCATAAGAAAATAAATCTGTACTCGGATCCTTTCTGTCTATTTACTCCCGTCTTCATCTTTCTAAAATTATGAGAGAAAACGTCAGTTGTCACATTATCTAGGGCTGTAAAAAATGATATACAAACAAAATGAAAAATATGGTATTTTCGGAGACAAAAGCGCCATGGTAAACGACAGAAAAGTGGAAAATACTTTACAGCTGCACATTTTGATTGTGTTCTAATACTGCGTAGTTTTCGAACATATTGACAGGTGTAGTATAATCTCCAAAAAGAGGGAGAGAGGTTGAATGGATCATAGAAGTGATCATTAAGAGGAGAACAAGAAGGGTAGAGAGAGAGGGGGGGGGGAGAGAGAGAGAGAGAGAGAAAGAGAGAGACAGAGAGACAGAGAGAGACAGGGAGTGAGAAACATAGAGAGAGTGAAACAGAGAAAGAAAGAGACAGACAGACAGGCACAGAGAGAGAGTGAGAAATAGAGAAAGAGAGAGAGAGAGAGAAAGAGAGAGAGAGAGAGAGAGAGAGAGAGAGAGACGGAGGTCGAAAGGAAGAGAGAAGAGAAAGAAAGAGAGGAAGATTGTTTGGAGATACGACCTTGAGGCATAGATATATTCTCGATTACATAAATAATCACCAGGCAGGGATAACATCAATTACAGATCTACCCTTTCTTTAGACACTTATAACATGAGCACCAATTATTGTTGGTATTATAGTTTCATAGTCACGTCAGCTTTTCACTGTTATTACTAAGAGTCACAATTTATAACGTAATGGATGTTTTGTCCTTCTACAAAATATATCCTTGCTCAAGTCTCTTTTACCCTCTCTTCTATCTTATTTTCTTTCACTATCTCTCATATCCCCCCCCCCCCATTTCTCTCTTTCCTTCCTTGTTTATCTTTTTCAGGCTCTCACTTCTCTCTTCTCAACATATTCCACTTCATCTTTACTATGTCACTTTCCCTATTTCATCTCGTCAAACTTTTCTGTCATGAGCAGACAAGCGGCGGGGGAGGGGGAGACTGGTAATATGAAGTGAAGGTGACATTTTAACGATCATTCAAACTCTTATATTGATTTAATCATTTTGCTACAACTCGATGTGTCATTGTTACCATGGCCAACATTCCGTAAGTACTACTTGAACTA